AATATTGATGTGAGCACTTTTCCATTCGCTTTGATTCAGGCATTGCAAGACAAGCCAATGATCTTCAGCCCTGGCTCCACTTCCCTGAAACTTTCCCTGATGAGTCTTTCTTGCTTTTCTGGGAACTCCTTATGTGAGGGCCCCTCCCCTTTTTCTTTTTTCTTTTTCAATAACTTAAAGCTCATTTGCCTGGCCCTTACTTAAACACCCAGAATGTTGGGATAGATGGATGATCGAATGGATGGGGAAAACTGAATATTTGACGCTGAACTGTTCTATCCGTGGGGCTTTGATGTGAAGAACACAACACGATGACCTTTCTAGTTAGTGTACAATCTGTCCATATTATAACCAGCTGGTAGGGCTCTGCCAGTGACTTCTCAGTGTCCTTTCAGGTTCCGTCTCCTCTGTTCTCTCTACATCAGATTATTATCTTTAAGACTGAAAGTGAGGAGTGTGTGGGTGGCTCAGGCAGTTAAGCATCTGACTTGGGCTCAGGTTGTGATCTCATGGTTCATGAGTTTGAGCCTCAAGTTGGGCTCCCTGTTGTCAGTGCAGAGCCTGCTTCGGATCCTCTGCCTCCCTCTCTCTCTGCCCGTCCTCCATTCTCTCTCTCTCTCTCTCTCTTTCTCTCTCCCTCTCTCAAAAATAAATAAAAACAATAATAATAAAAAAGACTGAAAGTGTTACTCAGGATTTTTCCTCTATTGGATATTTTGCATGTTCTTTGCATACTTAACTGCTTATGATTTCACGTGTAGGAAACGGGACTAGTTACTTCAAATTACTAGTTAAATCAAAACTAGTCAAATCAAATTTCAAACTCTACAACACAACACTCCCCAGGGTGCCTCAGTATTTGAAATGCTGCTCCAAGAACTTAAGTACAGTTTTTAGTTCTCAGCTTATATATTAGAATTATTTCAGTGCTTTAAAAAAAACTGGGGGTTTTAGAGGCGCCTGGGTGGCTCAGTTGGTTGGGCGACTGACTTCGGCTCGGGTCATGATCTCATGGTTCATGGGTTTGAGCCCTGTGTCGGGCTCTGTGCTGACAGCCTGCTTCCGGTTCTGTGTCTCCCTCTCTCTGCACCTCCCCTGCTCATGCTCTGTCTCTTTCTGACTCTCAAAAAATAAATAAATGTTAATTTAAAAAAAACTAAAAAAATAAATAAATAAATAAAACTGGGGATTTTATTCTAGAGTAAGATTCTGGTACTCTCTAGCTGTAGCTCTGCCCTTTCCGCAGCATTTGACATGGGCTGGTTTCCATCCTCTCCTCTCATTCAGATACTTATCTCTTAACCTTGACTGTTGGAACTACAGCAAATGTTTTCAGGCACTGTAAATATGTCAAAGTAAACATAGTGTTGACAGTATAAGGGCAGTGTCCAGCCCTAATGCTGACCATTTAACAGATCCTACCCCCCCCCTTTTTTTGACAAATATAACTAAGGGCATGCTATTTCATGGCATCTACTGTGTCCAAAAAAAGAAAGAAGACAGTGGAGTTATTAAATAAACTGTTGCCATATATTTCACAGGGCAAACAAAAGTACTTAGCATTTGAAAGTAAACCAAGAAGAAAATGCCCACTTTCACAATGCAGAAGGTTCTGGTTGCCTAGGTTAAGGAGGGGAGGAGAGACTGAGACTCAGTGGAGTTGAGAAAGTGGGAGAGGTGGGGGACAGGAAAGGGAGAAGATGGAACCTCTTCTGTCCCTGGAAGCAGGGGGCATTAAGTTATGGTGAAGGCATGGAATGGCACCTGGATTGTTCCTTTGTGAGCTGAGCAATGTTGGCATTCATTCACTCATTTCTCAGTGTTCACTGAGTGCTTACCACTGGCCAGATACTCTTCTAGGTGCTTGGGATATATCAGAGAACAAAACAAAGATGCTTGGCCTTCTGAACTTTGTTTTAGCAAGGAAAGACACACAGTACATATGGAAAATAAGTAACTGTACAGGAAGTCAGAAAGTGATAAGTGTTATGGGAAAAAGAAAAATTAAAGCAGGGGATCCATAGTATGCAGTTAGTTCATGGTCAGGACATGATATGGCCTGGATAGTGGCCAGGGTAGTTAGGTCTTCTTGAGAAGGAACAATGTGAACAAGGACTTGAAGGAAGTTAGGGGTTTAGCCAAGTAGCCAAGTGAGGAAGAGTATTGCAGGCAGAGGAAACAGCCAGTACAAAGGCCTTGTGCAGGGAGGGAGTTAGGAGTGGTCAGGAAAACAGCAAGGAGCTCAGAACAATGGCACTGGCATGTAAGAGGATGAGGTGACGGCAAAGGAGGCAAATCTAAAAACCGCACAGGGCTTTGTGTATTCGCTCTTTGTCTCTTCTAGCTCACCTGAGCCTCCCCCACCCCCAACTTCTAAAACCCTTCTATGATTCCCTTTGGAATTCACTACCCATTGTCACAAAACACACTTACAATATCAGCCCAGACTCTAAATAGTGTCTTCCTCTTCTTGTTCTAATGTGGACTCTACTTCTCCAGCAGCCCTCCACGGGGTGGATTCTGTCATAGCCCTCATGCTACTAGGCCTGGGGGCGGGGAAGGGGGGGCTCAGCTATTCTGATGGGCAAATAGTTTTCCACCCTTTTAAACTCCATTTATAAGATGGCTTGCTGTATTTGGTATATATATATATATATATATATATATATATATATACAATAAACCATATACCAATATGGTATACAAATATACCAATAAACATTATATATATATATAAAATGTTTATTTATTTTTGAGCGAGAGAGCAGAAGCAGAGATGGGGCAGAGAGGGAGGGGGGAGGGAGACAGAAAATCTGATGTGGGCTCTGCACTGACAGAAGAGAGCCTGATGTGGGGCTTGAACTCATGAACCATGAGATCATGACCTGAGCCAAAGTCAAGAGCTTAACCGACTGAGCCACACTGGTGCCTATTTGTTTGTTTGTTTGTTTATTTATTGTTAAATGTTTATTTTTGAGGGAGAGAGAGAGGAGAGAAAGAGAGAGAGAGAGAGAGAGAGAGAGAGAGAGAGAGAGAGAG